TTGACGTGTACCTATGATGAAAATTACAGGCCTCTCTCATCTTTTTAAGTGGGAGAACTTGCACAATTGGTGGCTGACTAAATACTTTTTTCCCCACTGTATATATACGTGTTTGTTTTGGGCTTCGTCCCTGTCGTTTTCCATGACGTACCTTGTGTTGGGTGGAGTAAATAAAACCCCTAATACGTATTCCTGCGCCTGTCTTCTAATCATTATACAATGTGACAGATTTCCTCATATGAAATGTAACTCTTTGAAATTGTTGCATGTTGCGTTTATATTTTTGTTCAGTATATATTTGACTTTGGACTATATTTCACTACTTTGCTTAAGTAAAAATTTTTTTTACTTCATCCAGAAGTCCTAGAATATTTCTTCATGCAAAATTACCATCTAGTTGAGGGCTCTCGAACCCTGTTACTGGAGATTTACCGTCCTGTAGGTTTTCACTCTAACCCTTACCGAGCTCACCTAATTCTAATAATTAGCTGGTTGATCAGCTGCATAAGGTTAGTTACAACTGTGGTTGGAGCGGAAACCTACAGGAGGGTAGGTCTACAGGAACAGGGTTGGAGAACCCTGATCTAGCCACATTACATTTTCACTGTAAAATACTTTTTATGGACTTATCAATAACTTATGTGATTGTGTAAATGTTTTTGGGCTTCTTTAACCAACTGATCCTTCTCTTGCATCTTTGCAGCACTTTAGTAATCTCTGAGACCGTAGAAAATAGGGTCCAACATGCTGTTGAGTGTCGTCCAGGGAACCAGCACCTAATATGGGTTCCTGAGCTTCACAGCCATGCTACAGTCCCCCGACTCCAGCACCCCTCTGAGGAACATGGTGGCCTGGAAGGGGGCAAAAGCCACCACATATGTCACCAAGAGGAGAAGCAACAGGAGGCTGACTTTCCGCCTCTTCCAGGTCAGTATGGAGGCACTGCTTCCAATGTTCTGGTTTGAGGATAAGCATCACTACACTACACCTCCACATGAGCGTTCACCTCTCTCTTCCCCTGGAGGTAGTATACTACCTGTGTGACATTGGCCTCGCCCAGTCTGGTGATGAAACAGTAGAGGAGGGGGTCAGCCAGTCTAGGGCTGATTTCAAGCCATACTGGCTTCCTGTTAAGGCTAGGGCTGATTTCAAGGTTTTACTGCTAACCTACAAAGGACTTGCTCCTACCTATCTCTCCGATTTGGTCCTGCCGTACATACCTACAAGTACACTACGGTCACAAGACGCAGGCCTCCTTTTTGTCCCTAGAATTTTTAAGCAAACAACTGGAGGCGGGATCTTTCTCCTGTAGAGCTCCAATTTTATGGAGTTGTCTGCTTATCCACGTGAGAGATGCAGACTCGGTCTCGACCTTTACGTTTTTATGAAGAATCATCTTTTCAGTAGGTCCTATGATTGAGTGTAGACTGGCCCAGGGGTGCGAAGGTGAACGGCAAGGCACTGGCGTGATGAACCGTCCTTCCTGTCTCTGCCTGGCCGGCTCCCCTCTCTCCCCTGGGATTCTCTGCCTCTGTCCCTATCACGGGGGCTGAGTCACTGGCTTACTAGTGCTCTTCCATGCCGTACCTAGAAGGGGTGCGTCACATCGTGCCAGGCTTTTTTCGCCATACTCTACTTGAGAGGGTTGAGTCACTGACAGGATCTTCCTGTCCGGTCTTGCACCTCCTCGGGCTCGTGCGGTGGAGGAGATCTTCGTGGGCTATACTCATCCTTATATGATCCCTCTAATTTCTTGCTTGCTCGCTCTCTCCCATGCCTCAGGACTACCTGGCCTGATGACTCCTGGCTGTCCCCAGTCCACCTGGTCGTGCTGCTGATTCAGTTTCTGCTGTTTTGCCTGTGGCTATTGAACCCTGACCTGTTCACCAGACGTGCTACCTTGTCCTGGACCTGCTGTTTTCGAACCTATCCCCCCCCCCCCCCCCCCTCCCCCTCCCCTCCCCCTCCCCCTCCCCTCTCTCTCCTCTCTCTCTCTCTCTCTCTCTCTCTCTCTCTCTCTCTCTCTCTCTCTCTCTCTCTCTCTCTCTCTCTCTCTCTCTCTCTCTCTCTCTCTCTCTCTCTCTCTCAATTCAATTTCAATTTAAGGGCTTTATTGGCATGGGAAACGTATGTTAACATTGCCAAAGCAAGTGAAGTAGATAGTAAACAAAAGTGAAATAAACAATAAATATTAACAGTAAACATTACACTCAGAAGTTTCAAAAGAATAAAGACATTTCAAATGTCATATTATGTATATATACAGTGTTGTAACAATGTGCAAATAGTTAAAGTACAAATGGGAAAATAAATAAACATAAATATGGGTTGTATTTACAATGGTGTTTGTTCTTCACTGGTTGCCCTTTTCTTGTGGCAACAGGTCACAAATCTTGCAGCTGTGATGGCACACTGTGGTTTTTCACCCAGTAGATAAGGGAGTTTATCAAAATTGGGTTTGTTTTCGAATTCTTTGTGGATCGCTGTAATCTGAGGGAAATATGTGTCTCTAATATGGTCATACATTTGGCAGGAGGTTAGGAAGTGCAGCTCAGTTTCCACCTCATTTTGTGGGCAGTGTGCACATAGCCTGTCTTCTCTTGAGAGCCAGGTCTGCCTACGGCGGCCTTTCTCAATAGCAAGGCTATGCTCACTGAGTCTGTACATAGTCAAAGCTTTCCTTAAGTTTGGGTCAGTCACAGTGGTCAGGTATTCTGCCACTGTGTACTCTCTGTTTAGGGCCAAATAGCATTCTAGTTTGCTCTGTTTTTTTGTTTGTTCTTTCCAATGTGTCAAGTAATTCTCTTTTTGTTTTCTCATGATTTGGTTGGGTCTAATTGTGTTGTTGTTGTTGTTGTCCTGGGGCTGTGTGGGGTCTGTTTGTGTTTGTGAACAGAGGCCCAGGACAAGCTTACTTAGGGGACTCTTCTCCAAGTTCATCTCTCTGTAGGTGATGGCTTTGTTATGGAAGGTTTGGGAATCGCTTCCTTTTAAGTGGTTATAGAATTTAACGGCTCTTTTCTGGATTTTGATAATTAGCGGGTATTGGCCTAATTCTGCTCTGCATGCATTATTTGGTGTTTTACGTTGTACACGGAGGATGTTTTTGCAGAATTCTGCATGCAGAGTCTCAATTTGGTGTTTGTCCCATTTTGTGAATTCTTGGTTGGTGAGCGGACCCCAGACCTCAGAACCATAAAGGGCAATGGTTTCTATAACTGATTCAAGTATTTTTAGCCAGATCCTAATTGGTATGTCAAATTGTATGTTCCTTTTGATGGCATAGAAGGCCCTTCTTGCCTTGTCTCTCAGATCGTTCACAGCTTTGTGGAAGTTACCTGTGGCGCTGATGTTTAGGCCGAGGTATGTATAGTTTTTTGTGTGCTCTAGGGCAACGGTGTCTAGATGGAATTTGTATTTGTGGTCCTGGCAACTGGACCTTTTTTGTAACACCATTATTTTTGTCTTACTGAGATTTACTGTCAGGGCCCAGGTCTGACAGAATCTGTGCAGAAGATCTAGGTGCTGCTGTAGGCCCTCCTTGGTTGGTGACAGAAGCACCAGATCATCAGCAAACAGAAGACATTTGACTTCAGATTCTAGTAGGGTGAGGCCGGGTGCTGCAGACTGTTCTAGTGCCCTCGCCAATTCGTTGATATATATGTTGAAGAGGGTGGGGCTTAAACTGCATCCCTGTCTCACCCCACGGCCCTGTGGAAAGAAATGTGTGTGTTTTTTGCCAATTTTAACCGCACACTTGTTGTTTGTGTACATGGATTTTATAATGTCGTATGTTTTTCCCCCAACCCCACTTTCCATCAATTTGTATAGCAGACCCTCATGCCAAATTGAGTCAAAAGCTTTTTTGAAATCAACAAAGCATGAGAAGACTTTGCCTTTGTTTTGGTTTGTTTGTTTGTCAATTAGGGTGTGCAGGGTGAATACGTGGTCTGTCGTACGGTAATTTGGTAAAAAGCCAATTTGACATTTGCTCAGTACATTGTTTTCACTGAGGAAATGAACTAGTCTGCTGTTAATGATAATGCAGAGGATTTTCCCAAGGTTGCTGTTGACGCATATCCCACGGTAGTTATTGGGGTCAAATTTGTCTCCACTTTTGTGGATTGGGGTGATCAGTCCTTGGTTCCAAATATTGGGGAAGATGCCAGAGCTAAGGATGATGTTAAAGAGTTTAAGTATAGCTAATTGAAATTTGTGGTCTGTATATTTTATCATTTCATTGAGGATACCATCAACACCACAGGACTTTTTGGGTTGGAGGGTTTGTATTTTGTCCTGTAGTTCATTCAATGTAATTGGAGAATCCAGTGGGTTCTGGTAGTCTTTAATAGTTGATTCTAAGATTTGCATTTGATGATGTATATTTTTTTGCTGTTTGTTCTCTGTTATAGGGCCAAAAAGATTGGAGAAGTGGTTTACCCATACATCGCCATTTTGGATAGATAGCTCTTCGTGTTGTCTCTCTCTCTCTCTCTCTACCGCGCCTGCTGTCTCGACCTCTGAAAGCCAACTGACAATTACTCCTGAGGTGCTGACCTGCTGTTCGTCTATGAACGTTTGAACATCTTGAAGAATGATCTGGCCTTAATGGCCATGTACTCTTATAATCTCCACCCAGCACAGCCAGAAGAGGACTGGCCACCTCAGAGCCTGATTCCTCTCTAGGTTTCTTCCTAGGTTCCTGCCTTTCTAGGGAGATTTTCCTAGCCACCATGCTTCTACATCTGCGTTGCTTGCTGTTTGGGGTTTTAGGCTGAGTTTCTGTATAAGCACTATGTGATATCTGCTGATGTAAAATAGGTTTTATAAATACATTTGATTTCATTTGAGTGCTGACATCGCCATGCTGACCTTATAGGGCAGGAAGAGCCAGGAGGGCTCCCACAGTTCTCCAGCAGCCCCCACAAGAGCATCATAACGTGGATGGGTCCGAATCAGAGCCCCAGGGTGAGCAGCACCACCGCCAGGAGTCTGGACACTCATCTCCTCTCCTGCTCCTCCGTGGCCTGGTTAGAGCAGACCGCCACACAGATCCTCCGGTAGCAGAACGACACCAGCAGGAAAGGAAGCAGGAAACCCAGGACGAAGCGAGCCACGTTGACCTGCGCCAGCCTGCCCCTCAAGGGGAACACGTCTAAACACATGGCCCTCTGCTCCTCCGAGTTGTACGAGTCAATCCAGATGATGGTGGCGGCGTTGAAGGAGACCACCAGCACCCAGATAGCCACGCTGATCACCACGGCAGTGTCGAGCCTCCTCAGGATGGGGTACTTTAACGGGTGGACCACAGCCAGGTAACGGTTCAGGGCAATACAGCAAAGCAGCCCATCGCTGGTGTAGAAGTTAGTGAAGAGGAGGATTACAGAGAGAATACACACTGCATCCCCGTGAAACCAGACACCATGCCACATAAAGTTCACCCACAGAGACAGGCCCACAGTGAATAGGAGGCCAGACAGGGCCAGGTTAAACAGATAGATGCCCAGGGCGTTCCTCTTTCTGATGTTCTGCCAGGACACATAGAGGAAGAAGGAGTTGGAGGGAATCCCGCTGATAATGATGATGAGGTACATAAAGAGAAAGGGCCACCTCTCCTCGGGGTAGTCAGCCGGATTACACAGTTTGTCTGGGTCATATGTGGTGCTCAGGCTGAAATTCTCCATCCCAACTGTGGAATTCATGGCCCCTCACCTTTCAGGAAACAAAACAATACAAAACAACATGACTCTATTTCTGAAGTGTAGCAAATACAATTTCAGACTGCATAATTTAAACATGAAACAGTACCATATGTCCATATAGAAAAATGCAAAAAGCAGTATTCACAGTTGACCGTGTACAGGAGAGCATTCGATAGGCCTTTAGTTATTGATTAAAGTTATACTATTTACTAGTTTGTTTCTCCCAAATGATAACCCTACAGACAGACACGGTACACACATGTAATGTCATTCAGAGGCTTGGTCAACAAGCTCAGAGAAACAGGAAGAAAGAAAGCACTGCTTTGAGAGACCTTTACTTTACTACCATATATACTGAACAAAAATATAAATGCAACATGCAACAATTTCAAAGATTTGACTGAGTTACAGTTCATGTAAGTAAGTCAATTGACATACATTTATTAGGCCCTAATGTATGGATTTCACATGACTGGGAATACAGATATGTATATGTTGGTCACAGATACCTTAAAAAAATGGTAGGGGAATGGATCAGAAAACCAGTCAGTATCTGGTGTGACCACCATCATGCAGCGCGAAACATCTCCTTCGCATAGAGTTGATCAGGCTGTTGATTGTGGTCTGTGGAATGTTGTCCCAATCCACTTCAATGGCTGTGCGAAGTTGCTGGATATAGGCAGGAAGTGGAACGTGCTGTCGTACACGCCGATCCAGAGCATCACAAACATGCTCAATGGGTGACATGTCTGGTGAGTATGCAGGCCATGGAAGAACTGGGACATTTTAAACTTCCAGGAATTTTGTACAGATCCTTGCGACATGGGGCTGTGCATTTTCATGCTGAAACATGAGGTGATGACGGCGTATGAATGGCACGACAATGGGCCTCAGGATCTCATCACGGTATCTCTGTGCATTCAAATTGATAAAATGCAATTGTGTTCGTTGTCCATAGCTTCTGCCTGCCCATACCATAACCCCACCGCCACCATTTGGCACTCTGTTCACAATGTTGATATCAGCAAACCGCTCGCCCACACAATGCCATACACGTGGTCTGTGGTTGTGAGGCCGGTTGGACGCACTGCCAAATTCTCTAAAATGACGTTGGAGGCGGCTTATGGTAGAGAAATTAACATTCAGTTCTCTGGCAACAGCTCTGGTGGACATTCCATACACAGTACTCATGAGACCAACGGACATGGGACAATAATCGACAAGGACAATGGGGAACAGAGGGCACATATATACGCATACTAATCAGGGGGAATGGGAACCAGGTGTGCGTAATGAGACAAGACAGTCCGGGGTTGGTGGTAATGAACCAGGTCAGTGACACCTAGAAGGTCAGTGACGTAGACCTCTGGAGCTGGTGAACGGAATGAGCAGCAGTACCGGGGGGATCCGTGAGAAAATCAGTCAACTGATATAAATTCATTAAGCCCTAATCTGTGGATTTCACATGACTGGGAAAACAGATATGCATATGTTGGTCACAGATACCTTAAAGGAAATGGGCCTCAGGATCTCGTCACAGTATTGTGTTCATTGTCCGTAGCATATGCCTGCCCATTCCATAACCCCTCCGCCACCATGGGACACTCTCTTAACAGCGTTGACATCAGCAAACCGCTCGCCCACATGAAGCCATATACATGGGTCTGCGTGTCACGGTTTCGGCCGAGGCTGCTCCTTCTCCTTGTTCGGGCAGGCTTCGGCGGTCGTCGTCTCCGGAGTACTAGCTGCCACCGTTCTATGTTTCTATGTTTGATTGGTTTTGTCTGTTTGTTACACCTGTTCCTTGTTAGTGTTCATTATGCGTCCTATTTAGTTCTCTTGTGTTTGGTCAGGTGTTGTGTGTAATTGTTCGATGTCACGTGTTGTATTAGTTCGCTGTTCTGTTCTCTCTGTATTCGTTTTGTTAGAGAGAGTCCCGCACGTTGTGCGCTTTTATTTTTGGTACTTACCAGTGTGCGTAATTGTTCGCCTGTGGCCTGTTGCCGTGGTTGGCTTGTTTCCTGGGACTTCACTAAAGACATCTGTTTCGAACCTCTGTGTGTCCTGCGTGTGATTCCACGTTACCTCTACACTCAACCCTGACATAATTACATACCATCTCAATGGAATCAGCAGGAGCAACCGCACCCACGGAGATCATCGAGGAGCGCCTTCGTGGACAGGAGGACAGGATTAACCAAATCGGGCACGCCCTGGACAGAGTGATGAACACCCTCCATCGATGGGAGACCAGCGGAGTGCCCACACTCCCACCTACCACACCCTCACCGTCGGTCAGCCCGCCTGTCCAACTTCCGGAACCCAGTGTGATTCGGCTCTCGCTCCCGAGGGCGTACGACGGCACCGCTGCCGGGTGTCAGGGGTTCCTGTTGCAAGTTGAACTCTACCTCGCCACCGTACACCCGGCGCCCTCGGGACACGAGAGCGTTTCCGCCCTCATCTCCTGTCTCACCGGCAAGGCGTTGGAGTGGGCCAACGCCGAATGGAGGAGAATAGACGCCGCAACTATCACCTATGCGGAGTTCTCCCGCCGCTTCCGTGCAGTGTTTGACCATCCACCAGAGGGGAAGGCGGCGGGGGAGCGTCTATTCTACCTCCGGCAGGGGATGAGGAGCGCTCAGGAGTTTGCACTGGAGTTCTGGACTCTAGCGGCAGATGCAGGGTGGAATGAACGGGCACTCATAGACCACTTCCGCTGCAGCCTCCGGGAGGACGTCCGCAGAGAGTTGGCGTGCAGGGATACCACGCTTTCATTTGACCAATTGGTTGACATGGCCATTCGGCTGGACACCCTGCTCGCTACCCGTGGGCGTCCCAGATGGGGGTCGCCCATTCCACCCTCCAGCACCTCCGAGCCGAGCCCTATGGAGCTCGGAGGTGCTGGCGCTAGAGGAAGGAGGAGAAGGAGCCCAAGGGGGGCCGTCCCCTGCACCAACTGTGGCCGTGGAGGGCACACCGCGGCTAGGTGCTGGGGAGGGTCTCCTGGTGGAGGAGAAGGCAGGCCACACATTGGGGAGTCCTCCCAGGTGAGTAGGCGCCCCACTTACCCAGATATTTCTGTCGTTCACATAACCATACCTGTTTGTTTTCCACAGGTTGCACCTCGTTCCCAGCATAAGGCGCTAGTCGATTCAGGCGCAGCTGGGAATTTTGTAGATCGCAAATTCTGTGTAGAGTTAGGGATTCCCCTCCTTCCAGTAAATAATCCTTTCCCTGTACATGCCCTAGATAGCCGTCCATTAGGATCCGGGTTGATTAGGGAGGTCACAGTGCCACTTAGGATGGAGACGCAGGGGGGGTCATGAGGAGACGATTCAGCTCTATCTGATCGACTCTCCTGCGTATCCGGTGGTGCTGGGGCTTCCCTGGTTGATTACACATGATCCTACTATTTCGTGGCGAGAGAGGGCTCTTAAGGGGTGGTCTGCTCAGTGTGAGGGGCTATGTCTGGGTGTTTCCGTAGGGGCGACCTCGGTGGAGAGTCCGAACCAAATGCCCGCACTGCACATTCCCCCCGAGTATGAGGATTTGGCACTCGTGTTTAGCAAGACGAGAGTGGCGCGGTTGCCACCTCATAGACAGGGGGATTGTGCGATAGACCTCCAGGCAGGAGCTGCGCTCCCGCGGAGCCATGTGTATCCTTTGTCACAGGAGGAGAAGAGGGCGATGGAGACATACATTGCTGAGTCTCTGAGACAGGGATACATACGGCCCTCCACTTCACCCGCGTCCTCAAGCTTCTTTTTTGTGAAGAAAAAGGATGGAGGTTTGCGCCCGTGTATTGATTACCGCGGTCTCAATCAGATTACTGTGAAATATAGTTATCCACTCCCTCTGATTGCGACTATGACGGAGTCATTACACGGGGCACGGTTCTTCACAAAATTGGACCTCAGGAGCGCATATAACTTGGTGCGCATTAGAGAGGGCGATGAATGGAAGACAGCATTTAGTACTACCTCCGGTCATTACGAGTATCTCGTCATGCCATACGGGTTAATGAATGTTCCATCAGTCTTCCAATCCTTTGTAGATGAGATTTTCCGGGACATGCAGGTGCAGGGAGTAGTCGTGTACATAGACGATATTCTAGTGTACAGTTCTACCCGAGCCGAACATGTAGCCCTGGTGCGCCGAGTATTGAGGAGGCTGTTGGAGCATGACCTGTATGTCAAAGCAGAGAAATGTCTGTTCTTCCAGGAGTCGGTCTCCTTTTTGGGTTATCAGTTGTCTGCGTCAGGGGTGAGGATGGAGGTTGACCGTGTGTCAGCCGTGCGTAATTGGCAAACCCCAACCACGGTTAAAGAGGTGCAGCAGTTCTTGGGGTTTGCGAATTACTACCGGAGGTTTATTCGGGGTTTTGGACAGGTGGCAGCTCCCATAACGTCCCTTCTGAAGGGGGGTCCGGTGCGCTTGCGGTGGTCAGCTGAGGCGGACAGGGCTTTTGGGAGACTGAAGGACCTGTTTACCTCGGCTCCAGTGCTGGCGCATCCGGATCCCGCTTTACCATTCCAAGTAGAGGTGGACGCGTCTGAAGCCGGTATCGGGGCCGTTCTCTCACAACGGTCCGGCACACCACCTAAACTCCGCCCCTGTGCTTTTTATTCGAAAAAGCTCAGTCCGGCGGAGCGTAATTATGACGTAGGGGACAGGGAGATGTTAGCCGTGGTACAAGCCCTAAAGGTGTGGAGGCATTGGCTTGAGGGGGCTCAACACCCTTTTCTCATTTTGACTGACCACCGTAACCTGGAATACATTCGGGCAGCTAGGAGACTGAATCCTCGCCAGGCTCGGTGGACTATGTTTCTAGCCCGGTTCGTGTTTAAGATCACTTACATCCCTGGGTCCCAGAACGGGAAGGCAGATGCCCTGTCTCGGCGGTATGACACGGAGGAGAGGTCCGTTGAGCCCACTCCCATACTACCTAAGTCTTGTCTGGTTGCACCGGTGGTATGGGAGGTCGATACGGAGATCGAGCGGGCGTTACGCACCGACCCTAGCCCTCCACAGTGTCCGGTGGGTCGGACGTACGTCCCGCTCGAGGTCCGGGATCGACTCATTTATTGGGCTCACACGTCACCCTCCTCTGGGCATCCAGGTATTGGCCGGACAGTGCACTGCCTTAGCACAAAGTACTGGTGGCCAACGTTAGCCAGGGATGTGAGGATTTATGTCTCCTCCTGCTCGGTGTGTGCCCAGTGTAAGGCGCCCAGACACTTGCCCAGGGGTAAGTTACAACCCCTGCCTGTTCCACAACGACCCTGGTCTCACCTCTCGGTGGATTTTGTTACAGACCTTCCCCCCTCACAGGGGAATACCACCATCCTGGTCGTTGTGGATCGGTTCTCGAAGGCCTGTCGTCTCCTTCCCATGCCGGGTCTGCCTACTGCCCTACAGACCGCTGAGGCTTTATTTACCCACGTCTTCCGGCATTACGGGGTACCCGAGGATATAGTGTCTGATCGAGGCCCCCAGTTTACCTCCAGAGTCTGGAGAGCGTTTATGGAACGATTGGGGGTGTCAGTGAGCCTTACCTCGGGTTACCACCCGGAGAGTAATGGGCAGGTCGAACGTGTCAACCAGGATGTGGGTAGGTTTCTGAGGTCGTATTGCCAGGGCCGGCCGGAGGAGTGGGCGAGATATGTTCCCTGGGCCGAGATGGCACAGAACTCTCTCCGCCACTCCTCCACTAAACTAACCCCTTTCCACTGTGTGTTGGGGTACCAGCCGGTTCTGGCACCTTGGCATGAGAGCCAGATCGAGGCCCCTGCGGTGGATGAGTGGGTGCGGCGCTCGGAGGAGACGTGGAACGCTGCACACATCCATCTACAGCGAGCCATCCGTCGACATAAGACGAGCGCCGATCTCCACCGCAGTGAGGGGCCAGTGTACGCACCTGGAGATCGAGTCTGGCTCTCAACCAGAAACCTGCCCCTCTGCCTGCCCTGCCGGAAGCTGGGTCGGCGGTTTGTGGGGCCTTTTAAAGTCCTGAGGAGATTGAACGAGGTGTGTTACAGGTTACAACTGCCCATTGATTACAGGAATATTAACCCCTCGTTCCATGTGTCTCTCCTCAGGCCGGTGGTAGCTGGTCCACTCCAGGACTATGAGATAGAAGAGACTCCTCCGCCCCCATTGGACATCGAGGGGGCTCCGGCGTACACTGTTCGGTCCATCCTAGATTCGAGACGCCGGATGGGGGGTCTCCAATATCTCGTGGAGTGGGAGGGGTACGGCCCGGAGGAGCGGTGCTGGGTGCCGAGGAGGGACATCCTAGACACGTCTCTTCTGACCGAGTTCCATCGTGGTCATCCTACGCGCCCTGCTCCGCGTCTTCCTGGTCGTCCCCGAGGCCGGGGTCGGCGCACGGCTGGAGCCGCGCGTCAAGGGGGGGGGGGGGGGGGTACTGTCACGGTTTCGGCCGAGGCTGCTCCTTCTCCTTGTTCGGGCAGGCTTCGGCGGTCGTCGTCTCCGGAGTACTAGCTGCCACCGTTCTATGTTTCTATGTTTGATTGGTTTTGTCTGTTTGTTACACCTGTTCCTTGTTAGTGTTCATTATGCGTCCTATTTAGTTCTCTTGTGTTTGGTCAGGTGTTGTGTGTAATTGTTCGATGTCACGTGTTGTATTAGTTCGCTGTTCTGTTCTCTCTGTATTCGTTTTGTTAGAGAGAGTCCCGCACGTTGTGCGCTTTTATTTTTGGTACTTACCAGTGTGCGTAATTGTTCGCCTGTGGCCTGTTGCCGTGGTTGGCTTGTTTCCTGGGACTTCACTAAAGACATCTGTTTCGAACCTCTGTGTGTCCTGCGTGTGATTCCACGTTACCTCTACACTCAACCCTGACACTGCGCTTGTGAGGCTGGTTGGACGTACTGCCAAATTCTCTATAACGACGTTGGAGGTGGCTTATGGTAGAGAAATTAACCTTCAATTCTCTGGCAAGAGCTCTGGTGGACATTCCTGCAATCAGCATGCCAATTGCACACACCCTCAAAACTTGAGACATCTGTGGCATTGTGTTGTGTGACAAAACTGCACATTTTAGAGTGGCTTTTTATTGTCCCCAGCACAAGGTGCAACTGTGTAATAATCATGCTGTTTAATCAGCTTCTTGATATGCCACACCTGTCAGGTAGATGGATTACCTTGGCAAAGGAGAAAGGCTCACTAATAGGGAGGTAAACACATTTGTGCACCAAATTTGAGAGAAATAAGCTTTTTGTGCGTATGGAAAATTTCTGGGATATTTAATTTCAGCTCATGAAACATGGGACCAACACTTTACATGTTGCGTTTATATTTTTGTTCAGTGTAGATGTGACAACCCATAAGATGACAAACATAGAGAGGGCTAGTGGACCACACTGTAGCTTTAGTTACAATATCTATTTGAGCCATTAACTTCACCTGTCTGTATACCTACTGTATTGGTTTCACAATTTAGACTGGTTATTATTTTAGCTTGTGTTGACATTACTGTTTGGGTGTGATAAAGGAGTATGAACAAGCCATATTGAGAACATCCGCATTATATTGATCTAATTTGACTTTTATATGAAAGTCAAACAATGGATAATGATCCATTGTGTGTACATATAGATACAGTGCCTTCAGAAAGTATTTATACCCCTTGACTTATTCCACATTTTGTTGTGTTAGAGACTGAATTCAAAATGGAGTAGATATATTTTTTTTCTCACCCATCTACATGCAATACCCCATAATGAAAACATGTTTTTAGAAATGTTAGCTAATTTATTGAAAATGAAACACAGAAATATCTAATTTACATAAGTATTCACATGGCTAGAAGAAGAGATCTCAGTGACTTTGAAAGAGTGGTCTCAAAGGAGCATAGGGGGTTTAAAGTGTGTGTGTGTGTGTGTGTGTGTGTGTGTGTGTGTGTGTGTGTGTGTGTGTGTGTGTGTGTGTGTGTGTGTGTGTGTGTGTGTGTGTGTGTGTGCGTGCGTGCGTGCGTGCGTGCGTGCGTGCGTGCGTGCGTGCGTGCGTGCGTGCGTGCGTGCGTGCGTGCGTGCGTGCGTGTGTTTGTGTGTGTGTGTCAGTCACCAGATCTCAACCCAATTGAACACTTATGGGAGATTCTGCAGCGGCGCCTGAGACAGCTTTTTCCACCACCATAAACAAAACACCAAATTATGGAATTTCTCGTGGAAGAAAGGTGTCGCATCCCTCCAATAGAGTTCCAGATACTTGTAGAATAATAATATGCCATTTAGCAGATGCTTTTATCCAAAGTGACTTACAGTCATGTGTGCATAAATTTTTACGTATGGGTGGTCCCAGGGATCGAACCCACTACCCTGGCGTTACAAGCGCCATGCTCTACCAATTGAGCTACAGAGGACCACATGCCACATAGAATCTATGCCAAGGCGCATTGAAGCTGTTCTGGCGGCTCGTGGCGGCCCAATGCCCTATTAAGACATGTTATGTTGGTGTTTCCTTTATTTTGGCAATTACCTGTAGGTTTTCCACATAAAATAGTTGTAGAAAAAAGGATACCATATATTTGATATCAGATGCTATTCAGGCATTGTACCTTTACAGAAATGTGTGTTAGGGTCTGAATATACATTTGCATAGAAAACATTTTAACAGGTCACTCATACAAGAGCAACTACTTACAGGTCCCAATTGAGATTTTTATTTTCAAACAAGCATTGTAGCATAAAGCAATTTTTACCTTACATTTTCACAGTAAAATACTTTTTATGGATTTATCATTAATAATTTCTTGGCTTATGCAATTGTGTAAATGTTTTTGCGCTTCTTTAACCAACTGATCGTTCTATTGCATCTTTGCAGCACTTTAGTCATCTCATTCTTGGCACTCTGACTGATGAGACAGTAGAAAATAAGGTCCAGCATGCTGTTGAAGGTCGTCCAGGCAACCAGCACCATGTATGGGTCCCTGAGCTTCACGGCTATGCTACAGTCCCCTGGCTCCAGCACCCCTCTGAGGAACATAACGGCCTGGAAGGGGGCGAAGGCCACCACATACAGTGGGGGAAAAAAGTATTTAGTCAGCCACCAATTGTGCAAGTTCTCCCACTTAAAAAGATGAGAGAGGCCTGTAATTTTCATCATAGGTACACGTCAACTATGACAGACAAATTGAGGAAAAAAAATCCAGAAAATCACATTGTAGGATTTTTAATGAATTTATTTGCAAATTATGGTGGAAAATAAGTATTTGGTCACCTACAAACAAGCAAGATGTCTGGCTCTCACAGACCTGTAACTTATTCTTTAAGAGGCTCCTCTGTCCTCCACTCGTTACCTGTATTAATGGCACCTGTTTGAACTTGTTATCAGTATAAAATACACCTCTCCACAACCTCAAACAGTCACACTCCAAACTCCACTATGGCCAAGACCAAAGAGCTGTCAAAGGACACCAGAAACAAAATTGTAGACCTGCACCAGGCTGGGAAGACTGAATCTGCAATAGGTAAGCAGCTTGGTTTGAAGAAATCAACTGTGGGAGCAATTACTAGGAAATGGAAGACATACAAGACCACTGATAATCTCCCTCGATCTGGGGCTCCACGCAAGATCTCACCCCGTGGGGTCAAAATGATGACAAGAACGGTGAGCAAAAATCCCAGAACCACACGGGGTACCTAGTGAATGACCTGCAGAGAGCTGGGACCAAAGTAACAAAGCCTACCATCAGTAACACACTACGCCGCCAGGGACTCAAATCCTGCAGTGCAGACGTGTCCCCCTGCTTAAGCCAGTACATGTCCAGGCCCATCTGAAGTTTGCTAGAGTGCATTTGGATGATCCAGAAGAGGATTGGGAGAATGTCATATGGTCAGATGAAACCAAAATAGATATTTTTGGTAAAAACTCAACTCGTCGTGTTTGGAGGACAAAGAATGCTGAGTTGCATCCAAAGAACACCATACCTACTGTGAAGCATGGGGGTGGAAACATCATTCTTTGGGGCTGTTTTTCTGCAAAGGGACCAGGACGACTGATCCGTGTAAAGGAAAGAATGAATGGGGCCATGTATCGTGAGATTTTGAGTGAAAACCTCCTTCCATCAGCAAGGGCATTGAAGATGAAACGTGGCTGGGTCTTTCAGCATGACAATGATCCCAAACACACCGCCCGGGCAACGAAGGAGTGACTTCGTAAGAAGCATTTCAAGGTCCTGGAGTGGCCTAGCCAGTCTCCAGATCTCAACCCCATAGAAAATCTTTGGAGGGAGTTGAAAGTCTGTGTTGCCCAGCGACAGCCCCAAAACATCACTGCTCTAGAGGAGATCTGCATGGAGGAATGGGCCAAAATACCAGCAACAGTGTGTGAAAACCTTGTGAAGACTTACAGAAAACGTTTGACCTGTGTCATTGCCAACAAAGGGTATATAACAAAGTATTGAGAAACTTTTGTTATTGACCAAATACTTATTTTCTACCATAATTTGCAAATACATTAATTATAAATCCTACAATGTGATTTTCTGGATTTTTTTTCCTCATTTTGTCTGTCATAGTTGACGTGTACCTATGATGAAAATGACAGGCCTCTCTCATCTTTTTAAGTGGAAGAACTTGCACAATTGGTGGCTGACTAAATACTTTTTTTCCCCACTGTATGTCACCAGGAGGACCAGCAACAGGAGGCTGACTTTCCTCCTCTCCCAGGCCAGCAAGGAGGCATTGTCGCGGAGCGCTAAAACAATCTGATGGAAGCAGAAGATCATGATGAGGAGGGGGAGCAGGAACCCCAGAGCCACCCGGGTCAGAGCAACGTGTGCGTCCGCCTGGGCCATGGGCATACCCTCCTTACACAGCCGCCTGGAGAAGAAGTCCTGCAGCGCCCCTGTTTGGTGAAGAAGATAGATGTGGATAGACAGTTCAACACACCACAACGCAGCCGGGGTAGTGGTAGCCAGGTGGAATGCATGGCCAGCCGTAGCAAAAAGCTTGTTGAAATTCGCAATTATTGTAGATTTATCGGTGGTGACAGTGTTTCCTAGCCTCAGTGCAGTGGGCTGTTGGGAGGAGCTGCTCTTATTTTCCATGGACTTTACAGTGTCCCAAAACTTTTTGGAGTTAGTGCTACAGGATGCAAATTTCTGTTTGAAAAAGCTAGCCTTTGCTTTCCTAACTGATTGTGTATATTGGTTCCTGACTTCCCTGAAAAGTTGCATTTCGCGGGGGCCGTTCGATGCTAATGCAGTACGCCACAGGATATTTTTGTGCTGGTCAAGGGCAGTCAAGTCTGAGGAGAACCAGGGGCTATATCTGTTCTTAGTTCTGAATTTTTTGAATGGGGCATGCTTATTTAAGATGGAGAGGAAAGCACTTTTAAAGAACAACCAGGCATCCTCTATTGATGGAATGAGGTCAATATCCATCCAGGATACCCGGGCCAGGTCAATTAGAAAGGCCTGCTCGCTAAAGGGTTTTAGGGAGCGTTTGACAGTGATGAGGGGTGTTCGTTTGACCGCAGACCCATTACGGACGCAGGCAATAAGGCAGTGATCGCTGAGATCCTGGTTGAAGACAGCGGAGGTGTATTTAGAGGGTACATTTGTCAGGATGATATCTATGAGGGTGCCCATGTTTACAGATTTAGGGTTGTACCTGGTAGGTTCATTGATAATTTGTGTGAGATTGAGGACATCTAGTTTAGATTGTAGGTTGGCCGGGATGTTAAGCATATCCCAGTTTAGGTCACCAAGCAGTACGAACTCTGAGGATAGATGGGGGGCAATCAGTCCACATATGGTGTCCAGGGCACAGCTCGGGGCTGAGGGGGGTCTGTAGCAAGCGGCAGCCGTGAGAGACTTATTTCTGGAAAGGTGGATTTTTAGAAGTAGAAGCTCAAACTGTTTGGGAACAGACCTGGATAGTACGATAGAGCTCTGCAGGCTATCTCTACAGTAGATTGCAACCCCACCCCCTTTGGCAGTTCTATCGAGTTGGAAAATGTTGTAGTTGGGGATGGAAATGTCGGAATTTTTGGTGGCCTTCCTAAACCAGGATTCAGACACTGCTGGAACATCAGGGTTGGCGGAGTGTGCTAACGCAGTGAATAACTCAAATTTAGGGAGGAGGCTTCGAATGTTAATGTGCAAGAAACCAAGGCTTTTACGGTTACAGAAGTCAACAAATGATAACGCCTGGGGAGTAGGAGTGATACTGGGGGCTACAGGGCCTGGGTTAACCTCTACATCACCAGAGGAACAGAGGAGGAGTAGAATAAGGATACGGCTAAAGGCTTTAAGTACTGGTCTTCTAGTGCGTTGGGTACAGAGAAAAAATAGATTCAGGGCATTATGTACAGACAAGGATATGGAAGGATATGAGTACAGTGGAGGTAAACCTAAGCGTTGGGTAACGATGAAAGAGATAGCATCACTGGAGGCACCGATTGAGTCGGTCTCCGCATGTATGGGGGGTGAGACAAAGGAGCTATCTAAGGCAGGTTGAGCTGGGCTGGGGGATCTACAGTGAAATAATACAATAAGAAATAACCGAAACAGCAATAAGCAAGGCATATTGACATGGGAGAGAGGCATAATGCAATCACAGGTGTTATTCGAGAGAGCTAAGACAACAGCTGGTAATGGCGACAAAGTTTGGGCTGAGGCTAAACATAAACAGGATGCGGTACCGTAAAAAGGAACAGTCCAGCAGGCATCAGCTGTGTAGCTGAGTTATCATAAGGTCCGGTGAACAGCAATAGGAGAGTTCGGAGGTAGTTCGGGGGTTGCTATAGCACTGGCAAGCAAGAGGCCACGGCTAGCGTGTGCTAGCGGGCCAGGGCTAGCAGATGGATCTTCGTGATCGACGTTGTTACGGGAAGCCTGTTGTAACCACATCAGACGATTTCTTCGGCAGACCAGTCGTGTTGGATTGGCGGGGCTCCGTGTCAACACTAGGAGGTCCCATCCGGTTGACAGAGAGGTAGATAGCCGGGAGATGGGCCTGGCTCTAGGCTAGCTCAAGGCTGATTAGCCAACAACAACGTCCATTTGGTTGCAGCTAGCTAGCTGCGATGATCTGGTGTTAAAGGTCCAGTGATTCAGTGATTCCGGCAAAAAAACTGATATGTTCTGGGTCGATAACGCGCTGTGCAGACAGTGCAGACTGGCCGATAATAGTCCAGGCTAGAGCTGGATGGTAGGTAGTGCAGGCCACGGGCAATGGTGAAAAACCGCTAACGGTGGCTAATAGCAAGTAGCTAGTTAGCTGGCTACTCCCTTCCGGTAGACAGAGAGGTAGATAGCCGGGATATGGGGCTAGCTCGAGGCTAACTGGTGCTTGCTTCGGGGGCAGTGGTGATTAGCCAAACAGCAACATCCATTCGGTTGCGGCTAGCTAGTTGCGATCCGGTGTTAATGTCCAGTGATTCAGTTATTTCGGCAGAAAAATCAGATGTTCTGGGTGAAAACCGCTAACGGTGGCTAATAGCAAGTAGCTAGTTAGCTGGCTAGCTAGTTTCAACTGGAGATTCTAGAGAAAAGGTAAGTCAATAATAGAGTCTGTTCCACATTGAGTGAGGCAGGTTGCAGGAAAGTATATTTTGTAGAAGGATGAAAAGTGTGATAGGGAAATATGTACGAAAAATACAAAAAATATACAAAAAAACAGGCTATTTACACAGACACACAACAAAGAACACGACCGCACTGCTACGCCATCTTGGATATATGTTTAAAGCACACAAAAGAGGGGAGTTGTTTTTCAAGAGGTGACTTTTGGGTAACATCTTATTTTGATAGTCTGTAGAGCATCTACAGATGGACTATCAGTAACATTTCAACTAACTATCTACTAACACTAATCCTAGCCCTAACCTTAACACTGATCCTAACCCTAAACTTAACCCTTACCCTAACCCTAACCTTAACAACAACTTGCCATCTCAAAATGGACTCCTATACCTACACATGCAAATAGTTATAGAATGTGGGTGGTCATACACTCAAGTTAACAAACTATATATACAAACATGAGCCACCAGAATCAGTCTGGAGAGCAAAATAGCACATCTAGGCAGACACCTCTCCTCACTGTGGTCTTGTGATATTATCATTAAATTACTATGAATTTACTTCCTATAGGTGTCTTGGGAATCATTGATATTTGTGTCAAGATACACATAGTATTCTCTCCAATGTCACACAGGAGGAATTTGCTCATATGCATTAAATAACTTTATTGAAAAGAAGAATGGTAGAGGTACAGCAGAAGTACAGCAAATGTGGGTACTGGCGAGAGAAATGTCATACAATGTTTAGGCATTCACATAGAGGTGTTTGGCATTTAAAAGTCACAATTTATTGTGACAAGACAAGGTTTTGGGGCTATTTAGAATGGTGTAACATACACACACACACACAAACACACACAGGAAACATTTCAAATCTATCACCCCATGATCTTCACTGCTAGAACATACAATCTATGTTGCTTTTCTCAGAGAAAGGTCCGTAAAAGTTCAATTTAGCATTAAAAGTGACATTGTGACAGGTGACATTGTGAGTATACAAATTATGCTTCATAAACTATCGCCATTATCTCACTTTTGAGGCGATAATTTCCGTGCCTACAAACATATCTCCTACACAATCTAAACCTGTTAGACCTCAATAATGTAGTTCAAGATTGCACACATTTAATGTGGCTACATTGTGTTATTCAACATTGAAAATGCCATTTAGTGTGCAATAACTACATGATATCAAACAAATGTGCAGGAAAATGCAGGAACTCATGCCTATATCACAACAGGTTTGATTTGATCAGTCCTGTGGAGGTAGGTTGATACAATTGAAAGCTGAAATGCCATCGTTTCAGATCTCCTGCGATTCTTCATTCTCCTGTAGATGGTGCTAACTTTCGTCCTAAAATACTGACCAGAAAATACATACAACACAGGGTTTAGGCTACTGTTCAGAATTGCTAGGTAGGTTGAAAACTGGGTACCAATGTCCAGGGTATAATGCCACGTCTCATCCAAGACCTCTGCATCACACAGTATATCGAGTAAGGTGAAGAGTTGGAAGGGACTCCAACATACAAAAAACAGCAGCGTCACGGCGTAAACGAGGACCGTGGCCTTCCTGTCGTTTCCACCCTCTATATAAACACTCTTCCCCCTCTTCCTCAGGGCTCTGATGATGTTACAACTACAGGAAAAAATCACCACAACAGGTAGAACAAAGCCCACTATGTTCAACAGGAGGTTGTGGGCCAGCTTCCAAGACTCCCCAGAGCGGTCAGGATACTCCAGAATACACGCCATTGTCTGATATTCCTCAACGAACGTCACCTTTCTGTGAAGCGAAGCTAGACCCCCTATCAGCAGCCCAAACAGCCACAGTATGAGGCAGACCACCCGCGCGTAGCGCTTCTTCCTCAGCCACCTGGCCCTCAAGGTCCTCACCAACGCTAAGTAGCGGTCCACGCTCACCATCACCAACAGGAAGATGCTGGTGTAGAAGTTGACAATGATAGACAGATTGACTACATGGCACAGGAAGTCTCCATAAGGCCAGTTGTAGTCATTGAGGATGTTCATGGCCCAGAAGGGCAGGCAAGCCAGGAGGAGCAGGTCAGCCAGGGCCAGATTTCCCAGGTAGATCTCTGGGACGGTGCACTGCTCCCTCTGAAGAAGGAAGACCAGCAGGACAAAGCCATTACCCAGCAGCCCCGTCACACACAGGGTGAAGATGTAGGGAGGGACGATGCTGTGGACCAGGATCCATTCTGTGGTGTTGTGGAGAGGAGTCTTGGCGGTGGGAAGGAAAGACCTGTTGTTTTCTGACAGGAGCATAGCCATGGAGACCACCAGCTCTGTGGTCATCAGAAAATGTCAAATTAAAATGTCAAAATGTTGTAATATCTGAGCTTATTATCCACTAATAAACAATAACATTAATCTTAACATTGTGACACTGAAGTTTAATATTGTATGTGTGCATGGAAATTGAAGCCAAAGAAAAAACTATTCTGTAATCAATCTCCAGACCCTCTTCATCGTAGCCAGATATCTATCAAAACTTAACGCTAAAGAGTCCAAACTCTCTTGAAAGGTCATCGTTAGCCAATTAGCTGTGGTTGTATAAGTATGCCGAATCCACAGACAAGTTTCGTTTTTCTAGTGTTGTTTGACAAAAGTTGGATTTAAGCATGATGTTTTGATAAAGACTTGACTTGGACTGATTGATCACTTTTTTTCAAATGACTCTTCCTTTTAAAATGTTATTTAGTAACTCATATAACATCAGCCAAATGTTGTTTTGCTTTTCCATTTATCAAGTGCAACTCTGAGCAGAACGTCCTTAACATACAGATAGATGACTGCTCAAATAAATAAGGCTTTCTTCTTGTCAAGTTGAATAACCTCTAAAAAAGTGTCTGTCTCCATGTTTTTGGTCTATCAGTATTAATTTGTACAAAATTACTTTGTCTCTATATCATTACTTTATTCAGAAGCCTGGCTCACGAAACCAACTTTTTGAATGTCATCCCAAGGAACATTTGTTGAAAAATGCATTTGTAAGAAACTGCTTACCTTGTTCCAATCATATGAAAATATAGTTTAGTAAGGAGAAGAAAACACTGCAGTTTACCCACACACCAACCCAGTAGACCATGTAGTGTTGTTCGTCTTTAAGCTTCTCACTGAGTTAGGGAGAGATGTGCTGGAAAGTTTGGTTCTGTATACAACATTCTTCCACACCCTTGTCCCACCGTGTATGTCAACTTGTTTATAAGCCAGTTTCAGTTCACCTCCTGAAGGACCAAAGGTCAGGTCAGAATGTATGAGTACTCAAGGAGAGAAAACATGCACCTCTATTTTAGAATTTTGGCACTGTGTAAAAACACATACACATAACCACAGGCCCAGGGCCAAGTAGCTAGCTTAATCCATGATTTTCTTTCCGTTCCCCCTTTTTCTCTCCAGTGGATTTAAACATAATAATTGAACATCCTCTGTTTATATTTCATTATGAGTGATATTAATTTGATCACTCTTGTGTTGCAGAAAATTTCTCTGCCCCACAGACGAGCTTTGTGATTTACATAAAAACTGAAAACCCACACTAACACAGTTATATTAATAACAGTATTGCAGTTTTCATGTAGCCTACTTTTGGCCAGCTAACAGCCTAACCACCAATCAAGCAACATTATGGACTAAACGTTGAAATCATCTTGCTCAAGGATTATTTTTGCTGTGACAATATAGGTCAAATTAAGATGCTACATCTGTACGTCCATGCTATAGGTCAGGGGCATTCAACTCTTACCCTACGAGGTCCAGAGCCTGTTGGTTTTCTGTTCTACCTGATAATGAATTGCACCCACCTGGTGTACCAGGTCTAAATCAGTCCCTGATTAGAGGTGAACAATGAAAAAAAGGAGTGGCACTTACTTCGAGGTCCAGAGTTGAGTTTGAGGGCTATAGGTCATAATATGTGTCTTTGTTATTTCTCAGGTTCATTTCTAGGTAGACCAAAACATACACTTTAGTGTACAGAACAGATGTAGTACAGACCACACCCCTCTCATCTTCCCCTCCTACGCAGTAAAGTAAAGACAGGCAATCAAAAAACAACTGGTCATACTTTCTGTAAAAATACTACTAGCTTCTCAACTTAATGGCATTCTGATCTGTTATACTGTATGGGTGATATTCATCATGTTTGCTGGCTAGACATCGTCTTACAGAGGTAAGTACCAAAGAAGAATGTCCTCTTAATCTCTTCCTCACACATGGTTGTTATGACAATGTGATGGTCTGTTTTTTACTATGACCTGTCTAGAACTGAATTCAGTCATATCACATGGAACTGTTCATGATTTTTTACATTTACATTTAAGTAATTTAGCAGACGCTCTTATCCAAACATAGAACTAATTACAATCTTTATTGTGCAGTATTCAATAACTATTCCACAGTATTGGTCAGTCCAATTTGTAAGTCGCTCTGGATAAGAGCGTCTGCTAAATGACTTAAATGTAAATGTAAATGTAGAAAAACATTCACTTGTCTTATACAGTACCAGTCAAAAGTTTGCACACATCTACTCATTCCAGGGTTTTTCTTTATTTTGACTATTTTCTACATTGTAGAAAGTAGTGAAGACATCAAAACTATGAAACAACACATATGGAATCATGTAGTAACCATAAAAGTGTTAAACAAATCAAAATATATGTTATTTTTGAGCTTCTTCAAATAACCACCCTTGATTCTAAATTTGAGATTTTTGGTTCCAACCGCTGTGTCTTTGTGAGACGCAGTGTAGGTGAACGGATGATCACCGCAAGTGTAGTTCCCACCGTGAAGCATGGAGGAGGAGGTGTGATGGTATTGGGGTGCTTTGCTGGTGACACTGTCTGTGATTTATTTAGAATTCAAGGCACACTTAACCAGCATGGCTACCACAGCATTCTGCAGTGATATGCAATCCCTTCTGGTTTGGTCTTAGTGGGACAATCATTTGTTTTTCAACAGGCCAATGACCCAACACACCTCCAGGCTGTGTAAGGGCTATTTGACCAAGAAGGATAGTGATTGAGTGCTGCTTCAGATGACCTCCACAATCCCCCGACCTCAACCCAAGCTGGTTGAGAGAATGACAAGAGTATGCAAAGCTGTCATCAAGGCAACAGGATGGCTATTTGAAGAATCTCAAATATAAAATATATTTTGATTTGTTGAACACTTTTTTGGTTACTACATGATTCCATGTGTTATTTCATGGTTTTGATGTCTTCACTATTATTCTACAATGTAGAAAATAGTAAAAATAAAGAAAAACCCTTGAATGAGTAGGTGTGTCCAAACTTTTGACTGGTACTGTATTTATAAGGTCTATATAAGGTTCCACAGTTGACAGTGCATGTCAGAGAAAAAACCATGAGCCATGAGGTCAAAGGAATTGTCCGTAGAGCTCCGAGACAGGATTGCATCGAGGCACAGATCTAAGGAAGGGTACCAAAAGATTTCTGCAGCATTGAAGGTCCCCAAGAACACAGTGGCCTCCATCATTCTTAAATGGAAGAAGTTTGGAAACACCAAGACTCTTCCTAGAGCTGGCCGCCCGGCCAAACTGAGCAATCGGGGGAAAAGGGCCTTGGTCAGGGAAGTGACCAAGAACCCGATGGTCATTCTGACAGAGCTGCAGAGTTCCTCTGTGGAGATGGGAGAACCTTTCAGAAGGACAACATCTCTGCAGCACTCCACCAATCAAGCCTTTATGGTAGAGTGGCCAGACGGAAGCCACTCCTCAGTAAAATGCATATGACAGCCCGCTTGGAGTTTGCCAAAAGGCACCTAAAGGACTCTCAGACCATGAGAAACAAGATTCTCTGGTCTGATGAAACCAACAGTGAAGCATAGTGGTGGCAGCATCATGCTGTGGGGATGTTTTTCAGCGGCAGGGACTGGCAGACTAGTCAGGATCGAGGGAAAGATGAACGGAGCAAAGTACAGAGAGATCCTTGATGAAAACCTGCTCCAGAGCGCTCAGGACCTCAGACTGAGGCGAAGGTTCACCTTCCTGCAGGACAACGACCCTAAGACAACAGCCAAGACAATGCAGGAGTGGCTTTGGGACGAAGGTTCACCTTCCAACAGGACAACGACCCTAAGCACACAACCAAGACAATGCAGGAGTGGCTTTGGTACAAGTCTCTGAATGTCCTTGAGTGGCCCAGCCAGAGTGTGGACTTGAACCCGATCGAACATCTCTGGAGAGACCTAAAAATAGCTGTGCAGCGACGCTCCTCATCCAACCTGACAGAGCTTGAGAGGATCTGCAGAGAAGAATACCCAAGAAGACTCAAGGCTGTAATCACTGCCAAAGGTGCTTCAACAAAATACTGAGTAAAGGGTCTGAATACTTATGTAACTCTGATATTTCCGTTTATTATTTTTAACACATTTGCAAAATGTGGAAAAAGTAAAGGGGTCTGAATACTTGCAGGCTTTGATGTGGCCTGTAAACCAGGAGTTTCAGACCACTGCATTAGGGTGTAACTAGGCCCTCAAAGAAAGGTGTTATGACATATGTAATGAATTGTAAAAAATAGGGCTGTTACAATGACCGCATTACCACCACACCAGTTACCGCCACACCAGCGGTCACCAGTCATGACCAGAGTCAAATTCCACATTACTTTTTAGTCATGGTAACTAGGCTTCTCCAAAACTGCACAGCTGATGGTCATTAGTAGCCTGCTCTGCTGACACTGACAAACAGATCAATAAAAATGACATTGTCCATATAAGACGCACACGAGAAGAATATGACACAAATAGAATATGATGTCCATCTAAACTGGAGGAGGAAATTATTGTCCAAAAACAAACATTAAGTAGCACTGACCCAACAATGATAACTACTGAATATGTGCAGTGTGCACTCACTGGCGTTATCAAATCAAATCAAATGTTATTGGTCACATACACCTATTTAGCAGATGTTATTGCGGGTGTAGCGAAATGCTTGTGTTCCTAGCTCCAACAGTGCAGTAGTATCTAACAATTCACAACAATACAAACAAATCTAAAAGTAAAAGAATGGAATTAAGAAAAATATAAATATTAGGATGAGCCATGTTGGAATGGCATTGACTAAAATACAGTAGAGTACAGTATATACATATGAAATGAGTAAAGCAGTATGTAAACATTATTAACGTGACTAGTGTTCCGTTATTAAAGTGACAAGTGATTCCATGTCTATGTACGTAGGTCAGCAGCCTCTAAGGTGCAGGGTTGAGTAACCGTGTGGTAGCCGGCTAGTGATGGCTATTTAACAGTCTGATGGCCTTGAGATAGAAGCTGTT